GGGCTTGTGGAGGAGCTTGGTAGGCTTGTGAAACAGGAGCAGGAGGGGCTTGTGGAGGATTACGGTAGACTTGTGAAACAGGAGCAGGAGGGGCTTGTGGAGGAGCTTGGTAGGCTTGTGAAACAGGAGCAGGAGGGGCTTGTGGAGGAGCTTGGTAGGCTTGTGAAACAGGAGCAGGAGGGGCTTGTGGAGGAGCATAGTAGGCTTGTGAAACAGGAGCAGGAGGGGCTTGTGGAGGATAGTCGTAGACATTTTGACCATAGTAGTTTTGAGGAGGATGACCAGAGTGGACTTGGGGACGACGGCGGCAGCCATTCGACTGTTGTAGCTGTAGAATTAAACAATCAGAAAAAATCCTAAAACAGACTCACTAATCTTGATTGTTTCCAATAATCCCCATTAAAGAAAACCCATCAACCACATGGAAGCCCATGGATGTATCTCCTCCCAGAGGCTGTCCTGCAGAGATGGGTGACATGAGTTTCCCCCTGTCCCAGGACACGTCTCTTTCTGCCCTCCTCCTGTAGTGGATTACATGCATCCCAAACATTTACCAGGTACAACTGACTTCCACAACATATTCTATGAGTTGGGATTATTCCCAGTTTCCAACTAGGTTCCTGTAAACAATAAACCACTAAGTGTAACCTTAAAGAGTGAGAGACTTACTATAGTGCCAACCCAGATGGACTTGAATTAATTTTAGTGCAAGGAACCTAGTACATAGAAACTGTTGGGAAATTAAACCCTCTGCAAGTGTTTGGATTTGGGGGCTGTTGAGAAAAACAGATATGGACCCCACAGCCTCCTCCAACTATCTTCCATCAAACAGATATTTCCAACTTCCCTGCCCTGAAAAAAAATCCCACTGCATTATTATAAGTGATCAGCTGCATTTGGCTAAACAGGATAACTGTGGTTCTAGATCCTAGAGAGCACCATAGGATCTGGTTCGATGAAGAAGATAGTCAGATTGGTGGATATTAGTAGATAAGAGAAGTAGGGAGCTGGATAATCCAACTTTCATATCTAGGATCTTTCCAGGGAAATAAAAACTGCATCCAGTTATCCCATATACCTGTGCATCTAGTGTAATCATTAAGGTGTTGGAGTAGGAGCAGAGAGAAACCCAGGGCCAAGCCTACTTTAAGCAAGGGGAACTCACATGATAATTCACCCCCTACACAGCCCTCTAATATCCTCCTGCCAGTCTTTTCTCACAATCCAGATACGTGGCACCGGCAATTCACATCCGCAAACAATCTACCTGATCATATAATATTGTTGTCTACACTGGTGAAGTCAGTGGGGTTTCAGATATTTTGAAGGAACAACGAGGTGGCCTCTTGTTGCAGTGGAGGTTCATCAAGGATCCATCTGCAAGCTCTGTTATTTCTCATTATTTCTGTGCTCTGATTCTCTAAGCCAGGGCTTTTCAACCAGTGGTACGGGTACCACCTGTGGTACATTGGCACCTGGCAAGTGGTATGCGACCATCCTAGAAAAGTGGTAGCGGGGAAGGGGAATGAGCTGAACCGGTGGCTGCACCGCACAAGCCTGAGCGAGAGATGGCTGGAGCTGCAGGGCTGTCAGGGCTCAGCGGAAGCGTCAGGATCAGTGCCAGGCTCCAGCTGGAGCTCGGCACTGATCCTGGTGCTTCTGCTGAGCCCAGAAGAAGCGCCGATCAGCTGGAATATTGTAGCATCTCCAGGGTCTTGTGATTTACATTCAGATGCATGGCAACTGATTCATATTTATGATGGTCACAGTGTCCCAGGGTCATGTAAAGTGACCAAAACCTGCTGCAACCACCCAGCAGATAGGTGGAATAAAAACCAACCACCCCACCCCACCTCCGTTGCCAATCCCCAATATAAATGCTCACAACAATGAAAACCTCGGACAGGAGGAAGAGCACCACTGGGTGGGCAGGCAGGTGTCTTGCTCGGCTGTGGCTTGGGGGGCACTTTTTTCAGTGCCATTTGTAACTTGAAACAGTCATTAAGCAAACTGTTGTAAGTCGAGGACTACCTGTACATCACTTTTTCCCTTTTTTTTTTGTCATCATTTTTGACACCTTGCTAGGCGACTGGTGGTACTTGGATGTTGCCATATCCTAAAGGTGGTACAATGGGTGAAAAGATTGAAAAGCCCTGCTCTAAGCAGATGGTTTACAGTTCTTGCTTTAGTTTTCCAGTCTTTTTCTTCTCATGTTTATAATACATTTCTGTGTGCAGTGGATGCAATGGTGGATGTTTGTGGAGATTCTCAGTCATCCAAGTCAGGGTTGTCCCAAAGGTGCTTTTTCAGGAAGCAGTCATCTTGTTTTTCCTTGAAGACATTTCGCTTCTCATCCAAGAAATTTCTTCAGTTCTACAGGTAGAACCGATTGGATTGATCTGGGAAGAACCAAGCTCAAGACTCTTTTTTTTTTAATCTACTGCTTGGCATGTTGCAATGTGCCCACCATCTTTTGTAACATGGTCACATAGCAATAAACGGAACAAGGGAAGTTGCAATAGTCTGCAGAAACAGCCCAAGAAAATGTGCAGCCCTATGTTTAGCCTCTTCTACTCTTTTAAACTTTTTTTTTATAATGGGAAACATTTGAGATTCCTTAAAAAATTGGAGGCAAAGGGGAAAACATCTAAAGCTGGTAAGGAAAAGGTATCATACTCACTCTGTTTGGACCCCAGTAACCACCATGGCCATGCTACAGCAACGAAAAGAGACAGAAAGAGAGAGAAAGGATCAATATACATTCCCTACACATAAAAAAAACAAAATTAACCTGGAAGCTAAAGCTTGTAAATGTATGATTCAGGAAGGGATTGGCAATGACAACTATAGAGATGATCACTGCAAGCTGCACAGCATCAGGACCACATGGGTTAGAAATGAATAAAGAGTAATACTATTGCAGGGGTCTTCAAACTGGGCAACTTTAAGACATGTGAACTTCAACTCCCAGAATTCCTCAGCCAGCCAGGGTTGGCTGAGGAATTCTGGGAGCTGAAGTCCACAAGTCTTAAAGTTGCCCAGTTTGAAGACCCCTGTACTATAGCAATAGCGTTTGAACATGAGAAGATCTGATTTTGGAGGGGGGTGCGGACCTGGCGGGTATTACCGAGACCTGGTTGGGCGTCGAGGGAGGAGTCCCTCTCGTAGACATCTGCCCACCAGGTTTCCAGGCATTTCACCAGCCGAGGACCCGGGGTAGGGGCGGGGGGGTAGCGGTCATCATGAGGGAGAGCCTATGCCCAAGGGAGACCACTGTGCCTAAGATAGACGGTGTGGAGTCCCTCCTTGTGAAATGGGGGCAAGGGGTTCAAGTGGGCTTGTTGATTATATACCTGGCTCCCTGCTATGTATCAACAGCCCTGCCTGAGCTGGCTGACGTGATAGCCGGGGTGGCGGTTGGAACCCCCAGACTTATGGTCTTGGGGGATTTCAACCTTCCATCAGCGGGCGAGACGTCGGC